GGGGGCAGGGAGAGTGGGGGCAGGGAGAGTGTGGTCTGAAACGTGACAGAAGCTCAGGGTGGAAACCCTGATGCTGATTGCACTGGAGGGTATCACTGTCCTGTCACTGGGGATTGCTGTCCCTGGTTCAGGCACAACCACATCTACATAACCAGCCCTATAACATCCTGAAGCTGGCACCATCTCTGTCTCTTCGCAGCGTCTGTTGTAGACCACCCCTTTCCTCAGGTGGGAGATGGAAATGTAACTGGGCACTGAGTTGCTGTTACGACACTGGACATTGATAAGCATTAAGTGCCAAATACGTCGCACATCAGCCAGATATTACATAAAGGGAAACCCATCACACAACTGAAACTCCTTGTGGTTGTGGTACATTTCTCAATTAATGTGTGGCACCAGGAAAACGTGTCCAATTAATGGCACCTGTACCATTGGAAACCCTATTATCATAGCAAGGCCATGTCGCCTCTCCCTCTGCTTTTCTTGAGAACGATGGGCTGGTTGAAGTGGGAGGAAGGGAGAGAAGATGCCATGTCCATCAGAGTCTTCAGGAATTAATTTTTGACTGCATCTCAGCAAGAAGCAGGTTACACAGTGTCCTCATTCACCCAAGAGATGTTCACTGAAATTTGTGACCTATTGTAGCTGGAATTGCAGCCTGAAGGCAGAATGGGAATCCCTTTACCAGTAGTTGTGAAGGTAACTGTGAACTTCTTTGTGCTGGTCCCCTTCAAGGACAAAGCTGGCAATTGCCCTTTGCCTTACACAGTGGTGTAAGTGAGCTCACTAACACTTAGTACTCAAAGCAGGGCTGGAGGGTACACTGTGTTTTCCCTTTCCAAATGTCATTTTTGTTCTTTCCGCCTGACAGCTGGATTAAAACCATAGCCAGCACGAGTGAGAGTAAGTAGTCTGAGCAGAACCCTGGAATGAAGAACCAAGGCCTTCACCATATGCCACACCACTTCTTATAGACTTCAGCAATTAAAACCAGCATGTTTACTATCTCAGCAATGGTCACCTACAGCTTACTTATGTACACCTTCAACATAATAAGTATCTCAAATAAAAATCTCACAGAAACACTATAAAACAGGATGTAATACCTATTGTTTCCCAGCAAGCCACATAAGGTGATATTAACACAGATGAACAGCAACACAATAAAAAGGTCTGGGGTTTACGGACTGTTTTAAAGGGGGAGGTGAAGTAGAGAGGTAAAGGTTTTTAAGGAGGGAATTCCAAAACATGGGGCCGAGGAAACCAAAGGCACAGTCACTCATGGTGAAGCGATTAAAATCAGGGACGTCAGAAATAGAGGAACAAAGAGATCTCAGAGGGTTGTGGGGACTGGGGGAGATTAGAGAGGGGTGAGAGCATGGAGGGATTGGAAAACAAGGATGACAATTTTTTAAAATTAAACTGATGCTTGACTGGGTGCCAAGGTTGGTCAGTGATAGGGGAATGGTGCTTGGTTTGAGCTCAGACAGCGACAGCAGAGTTTTGGATGACTTCATGTTTAGAGGTTAGAATGTTGGAGACTAACCGTGAGTGCACTGGAGTAATCAAATCTAGGGGTAACAAAGGCATGGATGACGCAAGGACAAATAAATCATCAACTAACTCAAAAGTAGACAAAATCTTAATAAATAGAAACAGAATTAGGCCCATCAAGCCTGCTGTACCATTAACTAGGATCATCGCTGATCCAAAATTCCCCATCTCCACTTTCCCTAAAAAATCCTATATGTTTCAATGAGACTGCCTCTGATTCTTCTAAACCCCAGTGAGTATAGTCCCAAGCTGTTTATCCTTTGCTCATAAGACGGTGCCTCCATATCGGGAATCATCCTTCTGTACCTTCTCTGAACAGCCTGAGATGGTGATCCCCACTGATGGGGGGTTCATTCTGTTGCTGAATGCGTGCTCAGCTACATGAGGTTAGGCGAGGGTGCTAACTATGAACAGTGAGGTCAAAAAATAGTACAGCTGGCGTCAACCCAAGTAATGTTCTGGGGATCTAGCTTCGAATTCCGCCATGGCAAATGGTAGAATTTGAATTCAATAAAAAGAAATTTGGAATTAAGAGTCTAACAATGACCATAAATCCATTGCTGATTGCAGGAAACACCCACCTGTTTCACTAATGTCCTTTAGGGAAGGAAACTGCCATCCTTACCTGGTCTGGCCTACTTGTGACTCCAGACCCACAGCAACGTAGTTGACTCTTAACTGCCCGATGGGTAATAAATGCTGGCCTAGCCAGTGACGCCCTTATCCTGGGGATGAAGTTTCAAAAAAAAAACGGCATTACAAGAAAATATATGGAATATGTAATCGATTTTATGGCTGTAGGTTTTAAAGAGAGTCTTAAAGACAGAGAGGGGGAAGCTTTAAAGGAGGGAATTCCAGAGATTCAGACCTAGGAGGTACAAAGCATGATTAATATCAGGCAGTTGAGAGGCCAGAATTAGAGGAATGCATAGATTCCAGAAAGTCTTAGGGTTGGAGTGAATGGTAAGGCTGTGGAGTGAATTAAAGAGAATTTTAAAACTGAGAAGTTGCTGAACTACAAGTCAATGGCAACCAGCTTGCACAGTGGTGATAGCACGTGTTAGATTTCAGGCACCAGGATTTTCGATGAAGTGAAGTTTACAGAGGTCACAGTTTTGGGAGGTTCTGGATTTGAGACCTGACTATGACCGTTCGAGGAGCGAGCTGTGCAGCATCACAGATCACAAAATGCCAGTAAAACATTTTAGCAAGACCTGGGCAACATTTGTTGTCCTCTCGGCCCTTCATCACCACTTTGGCCTTCAGTGAAGTGCATTAATTAATAACCAGCACCGTGAACAATCCCTCAAAAGCACGATTGCATAAACCAAACGACAGCAGGTTAGCGATCAAAGTGAGCGGCTGTGACACACACATTTCAAGAGTTTCAAAAAAAAACTGCCCCTCACTGTTAGGTTACTTATTTGTCCTGATAAGTGAAATACCAGTGATAAGCAAATGGTCTTGTTTCCCTTGACTCTTGTTAATGATTACATGTCTGTTGTTGAGAGTTTAACCTGAGTGTCTAACTCCATACATACAACATAGGGTTGAGGGGAGCAACATCCACTCTCACCTGTCACTCAGTAACTGAGCACTTGATTTGGCTTTAAAAGTAGGGTGTGCTTTGATTTGCTGCCTGCCCATGAGTGAATGAGTCACGCTGTCTCTGCTGAGCCCGGAGGCTGTGGGTTCAAGTCCCAATCCGTACTGACACAGCCACAGCAGCGCTGAGAGAGAGCAGCACTGTCAGGGAAGCCATCTTTCGAAAGAGATAATAAACTGAGGCAGAGATAGTAGGAACTGCCGATGCTGGAGAATCTGAGATAACAAGGTGTGGAGCTGGATGAACACAACAGGCCAAGCAGCATCAGAGGAGCAGGAAGGCTGACGTTTTGGGCCCAGAGGCCCCTATTTTCCTTCTCAGGCGAATGTAAAACGTCACAGTTGAAGAGGAGAACCTTTCACCACGGCGTGTCCTGGCCAACAATATAGGGGCTAAAGGTTAATCACCAGAATACTGCAGGAAGCAAAAAACTCTGAGAACATTTACTGGGGATGCTAATAAAATTAGTTGCTTTTTTAAACTCAAAGTCCTTTGAATCCTTTTGTCTTGGAATCATAATGTATCGATGATGCAATTGCTTGGCCAACAAGGATCATCCAAGTGAACAAAATAAAAGGTTTATGTGTTTTCTAATTGGCCTTGTGAATATTCTGTGCAGATTGATGCACTAGGCAGCCAATGGAGGATGTGGGGGTTGGGGCCTGGTACGTGGGAGGTCATGTTATCAAATTCCACAGATAAATGCAATCCTGCAGGGTGGGAGAGAGTCTGCCCTGAGGGGAACCAAGGAAGGCAGTGACGCAGACTCATGTGTCAACCTGGAGGTGGATGGTAAGGGACCTGTGACCCCTGACCACCCCCAAACCCATGTGCAAGGCGGACAAAAACAGCTCTTCTGCACTCTTCATGCTTCTACCATTCTTCCTCTCCCTCGGGAAACTCTTACTCTCTCTGTCTCGTTGGTTTGGCCTGAATATGGGAGAGTTGTGTTTACAATCACAGCTAGTGCCTTGAGCGATAAGCATTGTCTAATCTTACTGGGGAGAGGCTTATCTTTCTCCCAAGGCCTCTGAAGACAAGAGAAGCCACAAACTGGTTGCTAGGTGATAATTGTGAAGGCCAAACCAAACTCCTAACAAATGAGATGGTAACTCTGCCTCATATTGTGTCCTGGGAATGAAGTGAACACAATTATTTGCCTTTCCTTCACGTCAATCCCATATAACATTCCTACTATCTCTAACATTTCAATCTGATAGTTTTCATGCACAGCACAGAAGGCCTCATGACACATTGGGCCTGTATTTGTTCTTTAAACAGCTATCCAGTTTGTACAGTACAGCACCGGAACAGGCCCTTCGGCCCACCATGTCTGTGCTGACCATGACACCTTTCTAAACTAATCCCAGAGATAGTAGGAACTGCAGATGCTGGAGAATCCGAGATAACACGGTGTAGAGCTGGATGAACGCAGCAGGCCAAGCAGCATCATAGGAGCAGAGAGGCTGACGTTTCGGGCCTAGACCCTTCATCAGAAA